AAAGAAAAAAAAAGTCCATATGATGGACAGTGTAGGCTCTCCACCCTAAGGGGTCCTGCAGGTTCCCAGCGCCACCCTCATTTACAGTAGTCACGTGACCACCTTTCCTTTAAAGAAAAGAAGGCCTGAGTCTTAGTTCCTGAGCATCAGGCAAAGAGGCTGCTATTACTAAAAGCAGTGGGATGGACAGAGGCCCCTGCTAGGTTCTGGAAGGAGAAGCAGGGACGATGATCCCTTCCTCCGAAGCTGACACGTCAGCCTTTGCTTCTAGGCAAAACCGTCCTTATTTAAGGCTGCCCAGGGCAGAACTGATTCTTTTTCTGGACTGGATCAACAGTTTGGGCACAGAAAAGACAGCGTAGCAAGAATGAAGAGAGGTGAGAAACTTCTTGATCCAGGCCAAGAACTGAGAGGCAGTAAAAAGAATATACCAAGAAACTCCACATGGACTTGAGGGTGGGGCGTTTCTTTGACTTGTCAAGATTCACGTGAAGTGGCTAAGCACAGAATTCGTGATGTCCAGCCTTTTGGCTTCACCCGTAGCCCGCGGGTTCTGGAAAGCCCTCCCTATGTGAGGAAAGAGGAAGGGACAGTCTTGAACAGCAAAGGGACAGAAGGGACAGTGTACCTGCTCCAGTAGGAGGACCCTCTTGGAGTGTTTGGCCAGGTGGTATGCGGTGAAGCAACCCTGGATGCCTGCTCCAATCACAATGGCGTCCCAGAGACCTTTCTGAGCAGCCATGATGTCCGCTTAGGCCTCCAGTCACGAAGTCCAGGAAGAAGAGAGCAAACAAAGGCACCTCCTGGCTAGGGGAGGAGGAAGGCAAAGTCCAGCTTGGCCAGAGTTCCTACAATCCCCTGGTGCCCGTGTCCTTGTCTTTCTTTCCCTCCCGAAAGCCTGGCACGGAGCTCAGCCTCCGCCTCCCCTGCAGAGCAGAACTGGGTAGACTGATTTGTGAGGTTTAGCCCAGCTCAGCTGCCAGCCTCACCCTTGCATCCCTCCGGCTTGCTATTCTTGGCTCAATTATTGTCATGCAAATGGGCTCCTTCCTATGCCACCTTCCTGTCTCATTATGATCTTTGTCTCAGGACTTCGGCCCTGGAATTTCAATGCCTCCTAGACCAAGCTGGGCACCAGGAATGCTGCCTCCCCCTGCTGGCTTTTCCTCTCTGCAGCTTGATTTCCCCTAGAGATCTACAGGGCCAGCTAAGAACTTGGCAGCATGCCCAGGGTCTGGCCCTCCTCCCTGGTGGGTGGTGAGGTCAGGGGGTAGATGCAGGGGCCAATTGGGAGGGCAGTTTTGTGATTATGAAATCATTCTCAGTGTGTTTTCCTTTCATGTTGAAAACGGAGAATAAATGATCCTGGAGAAAAAAAAAAAAAAAACATGACAGGAAAGGACAGTGAGGAGGAACCTTGTCCTCAGGCGCACAGGGAGCCAGGCACCAGCCCGGCACATGTAGGGCCATGTGTAGAGAAGCCTTCTGTGCCCAGCATCAGGCTCAATGGGTATTGTTACAGTCACTGGGGACAGAGCCAGGGTTGGCAGGTCCTGATTCTTACACAATTGGAGGTCCATTTTAAGATAAAAGGAGAAGGAGACTGGAGGCATAGTATTGTGTTCAGCATGCTTGAGGTCCTGGGTTCAATCCCCACTAAAAATATAAGAGGGAAAAAAAATAGAAAGAAAAAAATTAGTCATGCAAAATTAAATGGCAGGACTTAGGAGAGCGCGCTCAATGAGGGAGCCCCATGGTTGAGGTTTTATTAGCTTCCTGGTAAATTTGCCTCTGAATACATTATCTCATTAAATTCTCATTTTTTTGTGTATTTTTATCCTCGTTTTTTGGCAGAATGAAGATAGCCTCAAGTTCTTTGTCAGTGTTCCCACCACGTGCTCGCCTGATAGAACACGGTGACTGCCACGATATTTCCGGCCTAGGCCTTTGGGCAACTTTCTCTTCTTGCTTTGGAGAACTCATCCTTAGACCCTGAGCCACCATGTTCGAAGTTCAGCCACGCCGTGAGAGACAGCAGATGAAGAAGCCCCAGGATGACACAGAGAGCCACGCATAAGAGAGAAGCCGCCTGGGACCTCATGCCCAGATTGACTGAACACCACTGAGTGACCCAGTCGGAGCCACATGACCCAGCTTCAGTATTCCTCGATTTTGTGAGGTAAAATAAAACGCGTGCTTTTAGACACTAATGTTCGAGAATGATTGTTTACATAGTTGTAACTCAAACACCACCACACAGCCAAAGGTGGCAGCAGGATCTGCCCCAAACCCATGCCCAGTGTATCTAGATGCTGAGACATGAACCCAGGTCTGTCTGCTCCAAAACTCACTTGCTCTTATTGTTTTCATTTCTTTTTTGGATACAGGGTCTCAGGCATTGCTTCACTGGCCTCTAACTTGCTTTGCAGCAGAGGGGAACCTTGAACCTTTGGTTCTTCTGCCTCTGCCTCCTGGGACTGTAGACCCTATCATCCTATTTGGTTTAAAATGGTGCTGAGGGCCTGGCGGTGGTGATGCATGCCTTTAATCCCAGCACTCAGGAGGCAGAGGCAGGCGGATCTCTGAGTTCAAGCCAGCCTGGTCTACAGAGTGAGTTCCAGGACAGCCAGAACTGCACAGAGAAATCCTGTCTCTAAAAAAACAAAAACAAAAACAAAAACAAACCAGCAAAAAAAAACTGGGGATCAAACCCAGGTTTCATGCACACTAGGCAAGTGCTCCATCAACCGAGTCACATGCCGGCTGCAGGACATCCCCTTCACTGCAAAGCTATCGTGGCAATTCATCAGAGCTTATAGTCAAGTTTCTGATCTCCATACTTTGCTGCTTTTCTGATGACCGTACAATAAAGAGAGAAAATAGTGACATGGGATGCATGTAGGACTATAGGGAGCTGCTTCACCTCCTCAGCACAGTGGCTGACTGAGGCCCCCAGCAACACTTCTGCTCCACAGACAACCCCCAGAGTAGCCTTAGCAACCAGCTGTCTTCTTTCTGGCCAGCCCTTCCTTTCCTAAGAACACAGGAGCCCAAGGAGGGACTGCCATCTGACCAGGTTTTTTTTTTTTTTTCCCCCAAAGAGAAGTAGAAAAAAAAGAAAAGAAAAAGACAAATCCTTCTAGAGTCTAAAGGTCACGGCATTCTGTCTCCCCACCCCACAGAAGGCAGAACAGCATCTGCCTCACCACTGGACGGATCCCTTACAGTAAAATATTAGCAGATATAACCAAGAAAAATATGGTACCCCGAGTGTGTAAGGGCTTGATAGAAATATATAAGATCAGCCCCTGGATTTCTTATAAGATGTCAGCGGAGATGAACAGCTTGCACGCAAGGAAAAGCAGGCAATAAATCCTTGCATGGACGTGTGCCCAGTTCCGCCAGCAGTCAAAGAAAGGGAAATTAAATAACTCTAAGGTACTATTATGTGTCTATTAAATAAACAAAAATAAAAATGATGCAACCGTACTATGTTGTCCGTGTTGCAGGTGGCAATTCAGATTGGATCCTGTGGAATGTTCTGGGGCCATGCATAATAAGATAAAAGAGTTCAAACATTCTGACCTAGAAATTCTACTTGACAAACCACTCCCCCAGGGGAGAAAAGGCTTTTGTATGAAGGCGTGCATATCTGTGCTTTTAAAATATTTTTTTAAAAATGAAACAACCCAACAACAGGGAATAGCTAAGCAAACGCCGACATGTTGACATACTGCAATAACTGTGTGGCTATTCCAAATGGCAGGCGCGAGGACCCTGCTTTGTGGAAATGCCGATATGAAACTGATACAGAGACACAGAACACATAACACACACTGATCACGGCCATGACTTCTGTGCATGCTGATCAAAGATCTAAGAAGAAATTGGTGAGGTAATTGAGCTTAATGCTCATTAGTTCCCGTATTCTATAAAAATGGTGCCTCCATTCACAGTTTGTAAAAGAAGGAGAAATCCCCGGGGGAAGCAGACTCTTCACATCTCCCGGTCACTGGTTCCAGGGCCGGGAAGTTCTTTCTTTGTTCTAATCTCAGTTCTTTCTGCTACAGACATTGTTCAGTCCTCCAGGGAAGCTGCAGGGAAGCGGCCAAGCCACTCTGTATTCCCCCCACCCCCGTTTAATATAATATCCCTTCAGAGATAAAATGACAATCCCATTTCCCCGTCCCTACTTCACAAGCCTGCCCTGGATTCCTGGACTCAAGCATTCTGTTTCTTGTTAAGAATTTCAAACGGCAGCTCCTCCGAAAGCCGCCAGTGGCCACGGCCCAACCTTGAAATGAAAAGCAAATCGGCTTCTAAAGGCTTCCCCTTCTCTCAGGATTGCCCGTCCTTGCATATGTCCTGACAGGGGCAGGCAGAGAGAAGCGATCCCCTCAAATTCCATTTTAACACCCATTCTGGATCGGAGGACTATTAAAGGGCGAGCCGACAGCCCTACACCTTGCTGCTTGTGTGTGTCAGCTGTCGCGGCTCGTGTCCTGGGGCAGAGACGCTGAGGGTGTGAGCCTGAACTGCTCATCCGATAGCTTGATTGACACTTTGCAGACAGGGGTGGAAGGAGCGAGCCGGGGAAGCAGCAAGCTGTACAGCTCAGAAATAATGAGAGGACCCGAATGGAGAGAGAGCGCGGAATAAATAAGAGGGAATGGGAGAGCCTTCTGTTTCTTCCCTGCCCCACTTTGCCAAGGAGCTGAAGCCTGGGGCAAGGAGGCAGGTAGGCAGGGATGAGCTGTACCCCGAGGGCAGATCCTTCCCGCTGCCGGGGTGCCTGGGGTCCTGAATGCTCAGAGGATGCCGGGTGTGGGAACGCAAAGAACAGGCTTTATGAGCGCTTTCCATACACATCGCTGATCCGCTGGCTGTCTGATCTCAGGTTGATTGCCCCCCGCCCCTCAGTTCTGCTCCCCTTAGGTCTGGTCATCCACCCATCTCTTTAAATGGCAAATCTGGACAGGTTACTCCCCGTTAAAATTTTCTTCATAGCTGCCCTTTCCTACTAGGATAAAAATCCGAACTCCTTAGCTTGGCACAGAGGTGGCTTTTGTTCTGACCTCTCTGCTGGTTCCCAGAGCTCCACCACTGACCCTTTCTTTCTCACTGTGTTCTTGGCACCCTAGCAACACTGAGCAGAGAGAGGTTCCAGCACTCACCTGTTTATTTCAAACTCCCAGGCACCCCCAAGCAGATGCAGTCTTTCCTATCCTGCCTCTCTATCCTGCAGAGAATCCATGATAACAATACGCATATTGTGCTGTAATTGTTTGCATGTCTGCCTTCCCCCTACGCCTCTTAAAAGGAGGGAGTCTTCTTTCTATTGTCATTTTTCATAGGTAATACATACACACGGAACAACAGTAAACCGTACAAAAGAGAACACTGTGGAAAGAGTCTCCTTTCCACCCATTCCCCGAGCTCAGCTCGCCTATCAGGTGCAACACTGTTGCTATTGTCTTTTGTGCCTTTTCAGAGATGTTCTGTGAGTATACAAACATGCTCATACAGTATGTACTCTGTGTGTATGTGCGTGTGTGCCCGTGTGTGATCCTATATAACACCCTGCTAGCTTCATTTCCTTTATCTCCGAGATCCACATCAGTCATAAGGACTGGCAGATTTCTGTGATGACTGTGCAGTATACATGGTACGAAGGAGGCGTTTGGCACAGAGACAGCACCCATACTTGTGATGGGTGACAGGGTTCTCCAGGTATAACAGATGCCCTGGATTCCCAGGACTCTGGCTGTTCTGGTTCTAGGTGTTCAGCAAGGGAGAGTTGCCTCCCCGAGCTGCTCAGGACAGTCTCTGCCTTGAGGTGGTGAGTGCAGAGACCATGGCTCTTGCATCCTGATGTCCCTCTGATTTTATATTTATTAAAAGGCAGCTCTCAGAGTCAGCTCTACAGCAGTGAAATCCCTAGGCTGATTCCAGGGAAGGGAAATAAATGAAGGTCCTGGGAATGAGGGCTGACAGCGCTACGAAAATATGAAATCATCTTTGCGTCTGACAGAGTTGGACTACAGCTAGAAAAGGATACTCTCCAGCCTGGTGTGATGACACACACCATAATCCAAGCCCTTGAGAAGCTATGGCAGAAGGA